GAGGGCAGACGACTTGGGAGCAGAAAGTTGCGGTTCAACTCCCAACCATTCCCACATGTCGTGGTGTCTCTTAGCAAGATCCCTAATTGCTCCCCGGGCGCTCAATAGCTAAATAATGGTAGGGGAAACACTGATATACTACATACCTTGACCTGGGCGTATTCCAGGTGTGATGGGTTAAATGCAGAGAACCACTTTTTGTCATTGTATGAGAACATACAATTATGACAATATATAGCACGCATAGATGTGATAAATGTATGAACCAGTTTTTTTCCATTTTTAGATAAGATGTTTATAATTTTAGCAATATTACGCAGGTGGAAGAAGGTGGTTATAGTAAAGTTTTTAATGTGGGGGATTAAAGGCATGTCCTGAACAAAAATAGTACCAAGATTTTTAACATTAGAACTGTAGGCCAGATTAATGCCATCCAAGGAGGGCGAACGACTGCAAAATGTATTCCTAAAATGCTCAGGTCCATAAAACAAAACCTCAGTCCTGTCTGAGATTGAAAGCAGAAAATTAAGTATCATCCAGTTTTTTATGTCTTTAAGACATGCTTGTAGTCTAAACAGCTAATTGGATTAATTGTGTTTCATGGACAAATATAACTATCATAAGCATAAAAATTAATATTTATTCCATGCTGTTTAATAACTTTATATGGAAGCGTATATACATTAAGGTAAAGAGTATTGGTCCAAGCACTTAATTCTTGGTGAGAATTTCTTCCTAATCCTAAAAATTAGCTTTGACTGCTGTCTGCTGCATGAAAGATATTGCTTCTTAAGTCCTCTGCAAAACCCCACTTTAATAAAAAAAAAAGAAGCCATTTTTAGTGTTTAGTTTCTTAATAGAAATGTCAAAGTGTAATTTTGATAACATACTGTATTTTCTGACATATTAGTCGCATCAGTCAAAAAGGCATCATGAAGAGGAAAAAACATGTTCGTCGCTTCGATGTATAAGTCACATTTATTATAAAAGATCTGAAGCTCGACCTTGACCTCTAAGTGGCTTTAAGAATCTGTTGGACTCCTGGCAGGGACCAATGTAGACATGTTCCTGTGTATATATTTATACGTATGTGTGTGTATATATATATATATATATATATATATATATATATATATGTG